CCAAAATAAACCTTCCTTCCTTAAGTGGCTTTTCTCAGGTGTTTGTTACAGCCACAAGACAAATAACGACTGATACACATCACCTCCAACATTTAGCTGTTCTCTGTGTTGGACCCATTCAGAATCTCCTCCTCCTCGTCCACCCTTTTCTCTTCCTCCTCCTCTTTTCCTTCGGGCAGGGTCTTGCTATATGACCCATAGACAATTATTGCCACCCATAACCACCTCTCTCTACAATAAGGCATGACTCCTCCCTATAAGTACATTCATTTAGTTATTTACTATATTAATTTTCTCTTCTAATTTAAGCAGTTGGACTCAGAGCGTTTTGTGAGTCCCTACAAGTGTGGTACACCTCAGGGCCCCCAAGTTCACAGTGGAGCATTGGGACAACATTGTCATTCTAGTCCTCAGGACCACCTGTACAATCACTACTATTAGAGACACCAGAGAGTCACCTGGGCCTGGCACCCTTCACTGAGGATCCCAGATGAGTGCCTGGGCCAAGCCCCACCCAGAGAAGGCTTCTCAAGGACAGCTAGGAATACTGATGATGGTGGCAGCTGAGGACCCAGGCTAAGCCTCACTCTGGACAGCTCAGCATGGCAGGCACCAGGCTCAATAGCTCTCTAGCTAGGACTGCAGACAAGCCGGTTTCCTATCGTGTACAGTGGAAACAACAGTCTGGTCCTCGCCACCATACTATGAGGAGGGACAGAGTGAGCCCATGGCAGGCTTGCCCCACTGCAACCCCCACTGCATGGTGCCACTGTTAGAGACACAGATGTGCAGCTACTTTGGCTAAAGACATTATGAGAGGACAACTCAGCCCTGAACACAGAACACCCTATAGACATTACCTTGGTGTGTATTACAGAAACCATACTTTGGATTTTGAATTATTATCTTTTTCCTGCCTGGTGCCATGCAGTTGGATCCTTTCTTATTTTGAGACAGCAAGCTGGTCTCTAGCTCATAATTCTCCTGCCTCAGCTTCTTGAATGATGGAGTCCCAGGAACGTGATACCATGCCTAGCTAATGGTGGAAGATTTCATTCCACAAACCCAGCCAGATTCTCATTAAACCAGACTAAGCAGGCCAAGGATAGAGCTCAAGGTCACGACTGGTCCACACGAAGACTCAGAGGGGCCTGAGTCACACTGGGCCACAGGAGTCTGTCTCCCCCATAATGCTGCCATCATGGCCAACTATAATCAGTGGGCTAATTTTCATAATTGCTAATTAACCCTAATAACTAGTTTGCATAAGAGCTGCCTGGCTCTGCTTTCTCCTCTACCAGAGGAATATTTTCACCTTGGGCTCATCTGGTTCAGCAGATGGCAGGGCCTAACACACCCCAGGAGTCAGCACTGGCCTCTGTCCATCCTGGACTGCCCTTCTTCCTGGACTGCAGTAGTTCCCCCACCCATCCAAGGGAACCCACCGACATTCCTCCATCCCTCCAAGGTTCTCAAGGAGTCACCCCAAACCAGCTTCCTGTGTCTTTTCATCAGCAGGTTGGACACCAGTCTTTCTTATAATAGCCCTGAAGCTTGCCTCTGCCTGGCTCGGCTCTCCCCGTCTCCCAAGTGTCTCCTCTCTGCCACCTGGTAGTTGGGTCTTCACTACTTCACCTGGCTGCTATTAAGTTCTGAGTTTCTGCTTTCTGCAGATTAATTGAAAGAAGAAAATTCTTTGTCCTCCTACCTGCTCACACCCACAGTAGGACTCTGTGAAAGCAGTACAGACCCTTTAAAGCCAACTGAAAGTGGCTTAATTCCAGTGCCACAATTGGCCAGCTACGCCACCCAGCGCAGGTCAATTAACCTCCCTGGGCCCTGGCTTGTTCAGATGTCTGGAGTTATAGAGACAGCCAGTTTCTCTAGCAGCTCTAGCAGTGGGCTCCCTACCGGGAGGAAGCGCCTTTTTATTTTTTATTTTTTGATGGGCAGAGGCCGAGACGAGCCTCTGGAAGAAGCTAAGGAGAATGGAGATGGTTGCCATGTTAGCTGCTTTCCCTCATTGCTGTGATTCCTGACCAAAGCGACTTAGGGAAGGAAGGGCCTGTTTTTGGCTCACAGGTCGAGGGTACACTCCATCATGGATGCTGGAGTGCAAGGCAGCATCAGCATCAGAAGGCAGGGGGAGACATGTGATGCTCAGCTGGCTTTTTCCTTTTCATGCAGCCTGCAAGCCCAGCCTGTGGAACGGTGTTACCCAAGGTGAAGATGGGTCCTCCTCCTCCATTAGCCCCATCTAGACCTCCCTCACAGACATGCTCAGACACACTTGTCTCTAAATCCCGTCCAGGTGACAATATAACCATTAAAGCTGCTTTGGCTGACAACTGACGCGTACTTGTTTGGACTGAAGAAGGTAGAGAGGGGGACAGGAGGCTTTGGGGCAGTGGGAAGGGTGCCTGGATGAGGGGCAGAGGGGAAAAAAGGAAGAGAGAGGAGGTTGCTAGCCAGAATGAGGAGCACACCCAGCCCCTGCCAGCACTCTGCCCACCTCCCTCTTGGATCCCTGCTGTCTTCTTAGTCACCCCACGGCTCAGCCTGCCTGAAGTCAAGGGCCAGCTACGGGCCTCTGCATGACTGAGTCAGGGGCTCCCTGGCCGTCTGGACCCCTTCTCGCAACGATCCTTTCAGCTGTGTAAAATGAACGCACACGATTGCAGAGGGAACCAATCGAGGGGAATGCATTTAGCAAAGCACTGGGACTCTTCGTGTGGGAACATGCACGCTGTTTTGTGAGCATGTTAAACAAGATTTGGTGGATGCCTAATAAGCGCCCTGCTCCGGAGGCTGCACGTCAGAACACCTGCGGCAGCTGCTGTGGGGTGCGGAAAGGATGGGTGCTGCAGGCCACTGCATCCCAGCGTCCGCCCCATCATCTCGGTGCAGGGAAATGACGAGTGACAGTTACAAGCTGCGGGAATAAGGGTACAAATCGTTTTCCAAACCGGGTCCCAGACTCTGAATCTGTGGACTCCAAGCCTGACCTCGCCTTCCTGCCATTCCCTAACGGCTGCTCCTCCATGGTCTCAAAGTCCTAGGGGTCTCACCTTCATGGAGGGGTGCCTGTTCTAATCTCCTGCATCCACTATTTCTCACCTTGATCTCCACAGCAGCCTCCCTGTCTCTGTTTCCGGTCTCTCTGGGTCTCTCCACCACCCCCACCCGACCCCTGGCACTTCATACGTGCTAGCAAGCCCTGCCACTGAGCTACAGCCCCAGCTCCCTTTTTAGTCTTTCGTTTTAAAACAGAGTGTCACTATGTTACCCAAACTGGCCTTGAACTCAGTCTGTAGTCCAGGCTAGTCTAGCTACTTGTGATCCTCCTGTCTCCGCTTCCACAACCGTTGGTGTGACAGGCCTGTACCCAGCTCCCTGCTGCCAGTCTGCTTGGTTCCCTCTGGGCTCCACCCTGAACTCAGAACTCATCACCCCCAGTGCAAACCTGACCCTGTCGCTCCCTCATCCCCTGGCTTTGAACTGCTCACTGACTCCCTGCTGCCTGCAGGATGAACTTGGGAGGCCTCTGCAAGGTCCTCACCAGCTCTGCAGCTCCCTCTCAGCACCTTTCTCCTCCTGCCTCTGCCTCCCTGCCATTCTGGATACCTGAAGTCCCCGGATTACAGCTCCTCACAAGCCCTTTGCCTGTGCTGGTCCCCCCCTGAGTTGTCTGTCAAGGGAACATAGTCTGGTCCCCAAGTCCTGCCACACATGGCTCCTCCACACCTCAGTTCAGCATCACACTCCCTGGGTAGGTGTGGATAGCCCTCCTGCCTGGGACAGAGAAGTGCCCAGGCCACGTTATGGTAACTTTACATCTTTCCTCAACACAGCAAACTTCACAAGAGCAAGTCCTATTCCTTCACTCCCCCCGCCAGACCCAGGCTAGTGGCTAGAGCCCAACAGACCTTCAGCAGATGTTGACTGAATAAATGAATAAAAGACTAAAGTGAAGGGCAGGAGAGGTCTCAGTCGAGAGCAGCAGGGAACTGGATGGAGCCAGATGCTGCGCTAGTCTATAGCTAAACCCTTCTCCTTCGCATGGAATTCCCCAGGTCCTCACGGTGCATTTGATCTGGGGAGCAGGCTGTAACTTGTTGAGTTCGGCTCTCTGTTCTTTGAGAAATCCCTCTGGTTTCCATACATACCTCAATTAGAGGCGATTACGTCTCTTGTCAAAGGCAGCTTTTCCAGTGCACGAAGAATGGGATTGTCGGGTTTATAGAAATTCAATTTGCACATGGCGTTTTAAGGACAGCTGTCTCACAGAGGCCAGCCAGCCTGGCTGGCCAGCCCCGGGGACAATGACAACACTCTTCTAGAGCACTCTGCTCAGCACTCTGGGACTTGGATCTGGAGACACCACGCATCTGGGGCCAAGGGTCTTCTTTTCCTGGTGTGCCTTCTCCACCTCTGAGTCCTATGGGGGCGGGGGAGGCTTCTTCCTCACCATCTCCACAGGGGGAGGCTTAAGGGGGAGGAAGTCCTCATTTCAAATGGGCTCCCCTTTGGTCAGTCCCCCTCTCTCCTCTCTTCCACCTTTCTTCTTTTCCTGGCCCCCATGGCTAGGGATGGAACTTCCTTCATGCATGCTAGGCAAGTGCTCTGCCACTAAGCAGCAAATCAGCCAGAAGGGATCTTCCTTCGTAGCCCTGTGAGAGCCCTTCCACACACCCCTTCCTATCACCTCCCCTGTCTCACACCCAAATCCAACACACATTCCAGCGACACCTTACACTGATGCTAAGCACCACACACGACTGGCCCTAGGCATGTGTGCTTGTCACTGTAAAGCCAGGACGTTGTGCCCAGCATGCTGTGGACATTTATAAATGCTAGGTCTGGGCTCGGAGGACAGGCAATAGCCTGGGCTCTTCCCTCCTCACAGAGGATGTCCCCAGGCTCTGGGGCACAGCATCCCCTGTTGCTGAGCCAGGGGAGATGAGCAGCTGCCCTCCGGTGCTGCTCTCCACGCTCCTTACCTGAGAGCACCGTGAAGACGGCAGCGAAGGCGTTGAGCTTGAGTCCGTCTATGACGCTGCTGGAGTGGAGGAGCTCAAGACACATGAGGCTGAAGCCGACCACCAGCAGAAGGATGTAGAGCACCTCGGAGACCACCGACAGCCACAGCACCCCTGGAGAACGAGGCAGGGGCAGGTGAGCAACGGTCCACACCACCCGGCCAGCACCACCCACTGAGGACAGCAGGTCACTGTAGGTTTTTCTGGGCTGTGGCACCCTGAGGGACCAGTGTGAGGTGAGGCTCACACTGCAGGAACAGAGCCGAGCCATAGGAGGTACCTTTCCGGGGCCCCTTCATCTCAGCCCCCGAGGGTCACCCAACCCCAGACTCTACATGGGCAAATTCTCCATTGCTAAGTCCATTTGGGGGAGGTTCTCTGTTACCTGAGTGACAAGCATCCCTAATCCCATTGCCTGACCTCAAGCCTTGCCTATGCCTTTACCTGCCCGCACTCTCCCCTGTATCATGCCCTGCCTTTTTCTAGAAACCACCACTGCCAGGTTCATGGCTTTGGCCTGTGGTTCACCCAGGAGCGGCCATGCTCTGCTGTGAGCCTGCTCTCCTGGACACATGATTGATCTAATTTGATCATTGGCCTAGAAATGACCTGTCACTGATCTTCTCTAGGACTCTGAGCATGATGTCACCGAGGAGGACCAGGAGGGAAGCTCACAGGGTTCCAGCCCTTTCTCAAGGATGCTACTCTTCTGCCCTTCTAGTGGTTTGGCGTATCTCCTGGGTTGCTGCAGCTTCTTTTCCCGTATTGGCCCATCTTGGGCTGCTAACACTGCTACCCAGTTTAGGGACGGCTGCTGTCTTCCTGTCCCACACTGTCACTCCCTCCTCTTCCTGTCTGCTTGTCACCTACACAGCACCTGCTTTCTTCTGGTCCCCGTGGCTTCCTTGCAGACCCCCATCCCAGTACCATGTCTTAAGCATGCAGTTCATATCTAGCCAGTCCAAGCTTCTTGCCACCCAACTCAGGAGCTCGGGAACGAACTCTGTGCCTTGGTTTCTTCTTCTGTAAAGTGGGGGTAATACTAAGAGCCATGGTGCCAGCACTAGGGGAGAAATAGTTTCTTAGTACTGTGTAAGACTCTAGCTAGCCCAAATGAGGGACCGGGTCACTCACTGATCTGCTGATGCTGTTATGTGGAAGGAACATGCTGACTTGTGGGAAGGGAGCCCAGGCGCTTCTGACTGAGGTCAACACTAAAGATGGAGTCAGTGGGGAGAAATGAACTTGTGGGTCCATGGAAGGGGGCGAAGAATAAATGGTAGAAATGGAGACTCACTCGACATGAATTCCCATCCAAGCCACACGGATGTGTTAGGAGATTGTGAGTCAAGCCTGGCAGGTTAGAGATGGACTCAAGACCACTCCTTTCTGTGAGAGCTGGCCACAAGACGGCTGCAAGAGCCGGTGGAAAAGAGAAACCTGGCTCAAGGTTGGGAAGATGAGGACAGTCAACTGTCAACTTGACACAATCTAGAACCACCTGGGAAGAGACTCTCAATGAGGAATTGCTTGAATTGGGTTGGACTGTGGATGTGCCTATGAGGGATTTTTCTTAGTTATGTCCATTGATGTGAGAAGAGCAGCCTAAAAGTGGGTGGTACCATTCCTTGGGTTTGGGTCCTGAATTGTATGAGCAGAGAAAAGTGAGCTGAGCAGTCAGCATGCATGTGTTCATTCTCTCTTTGTGCCTAACTCTACACGTGACCAGCTGCCTCCTGTCCCTACCACTAAGGATGGCAGAGCAGGCTTCTGAAGGGGCTGGCTGTTCTGTCTGTCTTTGCCCAGGAACCTTTGGTGACCCAAGGGGCTTGGGATCAAATCCAGGCGGTTTCACTGGACATCAGGGGCCCACTCAGAACCTCAGTGATCTCTTCTGTGGAATGGGTGTCTGGGAGGAGGACCCAAGGAGGCGACTATTCCCCAGTGCAGTAGTCATTGCAGTCCTTGAGGAAGGAAATGTCCTCAAGAGACATGAGTAGGAGATGTGGGGATGCAGAAAGGACAGAAGGGGAGGTGCTCAGTGGAAGGATCGTCTTGAGCTGTCCGACCTCTAGTAGTACCATTGAGAGGCAATAGCTCAGAGCTGTGTCAACCAGGGCCTTACAGCAGTCCTCATTGGTCAACTTGGCTGGAGGGCACAGAGGGAAATGCAAGTTCTAATGGATGGACAGAAAGGCTCCAGGTGCCTCAAAGCCCTCTAGAGGCACTGGGAGATTAGTGGGACCTCCTCGTCCCTTATTGCTGGGTCTGTAATGAATGCTATTGTCCACTTTTATTATGAACGTTGTTGCTATTCTTAGCATGACAATTACAATTTCTGTTATTATTCTTTTGCTTGTGTTCCATAGATAAGGTCTTCCTAGATAGCCCAGGCTGGCCTAGCACTCGGATCCCCTTTCCATAGTGATGAAATTACAGTGGTGTGCCACTGTGCCCAGCCTGTTATTATTCTTAGCTCCTTTGGGTTACATGGGTGGAGCCTTCATGCAAATGCTTCAGAGCCCAGTGAGAAGATAAAGAGCTGAATCTAGCCAGTCACCCTAGCCTAGTTCTGGGGTACAAGTGCCAGGTTCTCCATCTTCAACAACCCAACCTCATGCCCCAGACCCAGGTGTGTTCCCTGCTGGCATTTTGTCTGACTGCCTAGTGATGTCTTGGTTACCAGTACCCACTCTGCCCCCAAGGAACCACCTCACTCTCAAGAGGCAAATAAGAGTCCCCTGAAGCAGTAACTGAGATATAGAAGGCACAGTTCTATTTCCTCACAAAGATCGAAACATTGAGTTGAACCAAAGAATGAAGGAGCGGTTTTATTCCCATTATTCTAAAAGTCCTCATTACCTCCGTCCAAAGCGTCCTTAGTGGTACTAATAATGTATTCTTAAAATCTTTCTAACACTTCTCAATTTGAGGTGTAGGGTGGGAATCAGGGTCTCATGCAGTCTAGGCTGGCCTCCAACTTGCTATGTATCCCAGGATGGGCTTGAACTCCTGATCCTCCTGCCTCCACAACCCAAATGCTTGGATTACAGGCATGTAACCACCATGCCTAATTTTATGTGGTGCTAGAAACTGAATCCAGGGATTCATGCTGGGCAAGTACTCTACCAACTGCATCACATCCCAAGCCCTACTTGTCAATTTTTAAAAGGAGGGTGAGCCTCAGGCCCAGCATGTTCTGTTTAGTTACTTCCTGTGCTGGTGATTCTCTGTGGATTTCTCTTCACCCCTCACCTCCTCCATCTGTGCCCACCCAGACATCCTCCTTCATCTCTGCCCAGGCCTGTACCCAAGGACCTGAGCCGCCTGGACCCATGGCTCAGCCCTAAGGGGTAGTGAAACACTGGAGTCTACCTGCTCTGCCCCTGCCCAGAACTGCCTATGCTGGGTTCTGCCTTCTTGGCTTTAAGCACCCCCTCTTCCAGACTAGGGTAGCACTATTGTCAGCCTTTGAGGACATTAGAGCCCCCTCTCCACAAAGGCAACTGCTCTGTGTCATTTGAACAATTCACTGCCCTCCCCAGGGCCCTCCCATCAGAGTGACTCCTATGCTGTTTGGAGGATCCCCATCCCTCAAGGACCCTCCCTGGCTCATCTTTTTGTGGGGGTCAATCCTGGTCTTCCATCGGATCTAGATCCAAGTCAATGGCCCCAGGAGCATGTTGACCAGCTATTCAGAGCCACTGGGAACTGGTGAAGGGAGCTCGGGCCCCACCTGACACCATGGGACTCTGGGAGCTGTGCACTGTGAACTGCTGCAGCCACTGTGGAAATCAGCATTGGAGGCATTAAAAAAAAAGAAGAAAGAAAGAAAGAAAAGAAAAGAAAAAGAAGACAAAACCAGAATGACCATGTGACCCAGTTAGACCACTCCTGGGTTATACCCCAACGAGTCTAACTCTACATGTCACAGAGACATCCGCCTACCAGTGTGTATTGCTCCTCTAGTCTCAGTAGATAAATATAGAGCCAGCAGATGAGCAGATAAGGAAAAGCGGAGTATTATTCAGCCATAAAGAAAGAATGAAATGATGTCATTTTTAGGGAAATACACAGAACTGGAGTCATCATGATAAGTGAAATAAGCCAGACTCAGAAAGGCAAATCACATTTTTCTTCTCATTATCAGAATCTATATTTAAATTAAGTAGAAGGGAGACTGTGGAGGGTGCCAGCAGGGGAGAGAAGAAAAGATAAGGAGGAAATGGATGGAAATACATTATTTACATGTGTGAACGTCATAGTGAAATCATTTTTTTTTTTTACAAATAATATACACTAATTAACACAGAGAGGAAAGGAAGGCCCTGACAGAGGGGCCTGTTTTGACTTTAATGGGGCTGCAGGAGATGGAGATGCTCAGGTTGAGACACTCCTGTCATCCTTTCAAACATACACGTGGAAAAGAGAGCTGACTTTGGGAAATAAGCCAGTGCTGTGATGGCAAGTGTTGGTGTCTGGAGGGCACAGAGCAGACGGTGGGAATAATAAGGTGGTGGGAGACAGTATGCCCCACTGGGGATCAAGAGAGAAGGGAGCAGTGGCCTCCCGAAGAGCCGGTGCCTTGGTGGTGGGGGAGGGGCCTGTAATCAAAGACAGGCTGGGGCCAGTCTCCCAACTTGTCGCTAATGGCGAGATTTGCAGGAGAGAATGGGTGACCTTGCGGGGCAGAAGAAATGGAAAGATTTCTCATCAGGTGGGGCCGAGCTGACAGTTAATCCTGTTAGCTGCACTTTTTGCCTTTTTAAAAAACAGCTTGGCGAGGTCAACTCTGACCCGCCATTGATGGGATTGATGGGTTTGCAGGAATGATTTCCATTCCTTGCAGTCCCTCCCCAGCCCAGAGCCAGCCAGGGAGACACCTGGGGGAATCAAGTCTCTGGCCTCGACCTTGCCTCCTGTGACCTTGAATGGGGGTCACCTCGATCCCTCACTGCCCTCATTTGAGAAGTGGGCAGGGTAGACATGGAGCAGGAATGTCAGACAGTGCAGAAGTCCCTGTGGGTCCCACGGCTTGATGCTGACTCTCTCCTCTCTCTCTCTCTCTCTCTCTCTCCTCTCTCTCTCTCTCTCTCTCTCTCTCTCTCTCTCTC